TTCATCATCTATTATCTCATCAATGTTTGAAACACAGAAATAGTGTCAGCTTCAAGTATGAATTACCTTGACATATTCGTATTCGGTTATGGGACCAACGACTAAACGAAATTGGACTCGAGCAACAACTCAATTCTACTATGGCCACAGATTTAAGGTCGTTATCTTTTACCGAATAACTCAGTGAGACAATTTATCCTGTACCTAGAAGTGACGAATCCTTTGTCGATCCACCATAGCTATAGTGTACTTCTCAATGTAGCCAATCACTACCATATTGATAACCCTTAATAGGATTACATTAGGCTAGTGTCAAACTACACCAATATTTACACATAGCGCTCTAGTGATCTCAAGTCTAAGAATCACATGCACCACGATCCATTAGAGGATGTATTCCATAGACGTTGGGGTTACCATCTATATGGAATCCTCTATATGCCTGTCTAGTGAACTTATGAATAACAAGCACCCATGCGTGCAACAAGTTGTCACTAAACAACTTTGACTTGCGAGATCTGTCACTACCTTTCGGTAAAGTCATTCAACGCTATGATAGCCTTACCATATTACCTGTGTCCTTGATCAAGATAATACTAAGATTCTAGAATGACCACTATAAGTGCTCATAGGGTCCTCACAATCGAGGTTTATAACACTTGATACTCTCATCGCAGTTCTACATTCTAAGGACATATATCAATACACACACACACACACACACACACACATACACACATATATAACGATTTACCTAATATAATAAAATGTCTTTTATTAATGGAATAACATGATACATAGAGTCAATTTACAAAATGCGATTGACTCTAAGACACCTAGTATAACTGAAGAAATATGAAAAAGTGGAAAGGGAGAAAAAGACGAAAAAGAATTGGAGAGAGGGAGAAGAAGAAGACGAACTGAAGAAGAAGAAATATGAAAAAGTGGAGAGGGAGAAAAAGACAAAGAAAAAGAAGACGAAGATGAAAGAGAAATATGTGGAGATGAAAATAATAAAGAAATAAATGGAGAGGAAAAATTTTAAAATTAAAAGAAACAAATGACCCACGGGTCCACCCGTACCTGCATGACTTGGTATGAGTGATGTATTTCCTTACTTGTTCACATTTTTTACCCGTTTGACCCGTATATGTTGTTACTCGACTCGTGCCCACCCAACTCCCCCGTTTGCCAAGTCTAGTCCAAACTACAAATATAAAAATGTTCTTGTTAACAATACTTCAGGTTTGCCATTGGTAGTTAGAACTTCAGGTTCCAAATCCACATCTAGATTGATATTCAGGACATTTAGAACTTCAGGTTTGTAATTAATATCCATAACTTTAAGGTTCAAATATTTGTTATTTAAAACCTTAGTTCTAGTGACATTTCGGACATCATGTCCATAAATTTCCGCAATTTTGCGAAGTTCAAGTTGCAAATGGGATAAATTAAAATTTTAATTTAGAGACAATACATTCATCAATTATGATATGCTAAACTTATTATATTCATATGTATATGCTAAACTTACTATATTCATAAACTATTATATGCTAAACTTATTATATTCATAAACTATTATATGCTAAACTTTTTTTCTTATGTGGAAGGTCCATAGAGCATACTCATAAAGTCATAATGATAGCTATAATAAGTAATATGTATAAATTAAATACATATAATAAATAAAACGTTTAACAATAAGGGTGTACACAAGCTATCGTTTTAATAATGTAAATTGTAGTAATATAAAAATAACAAGACTCAAAGTGATAGAGCAAAATTAAAGGGGCTCGAATATTATTTCTTTACTTTCTCTAATAACCCAATTCGAGTATCGTGTGTACAAATGAGAAGAATTGGGTCTATTTATAGGAGATCATGGGAGCTGAATCACTGTCCAAGCCAATTGAAATTTGCCAGCATAAGATCATGTGTCAAGCTTGGCCATAACCTCTTAAAAACATGGTGGCTTTAGTGGTGGAATAATCCACACATGTTAAAACAACTCTTTTATTTTTGTTACATTTTTAGTTTATTATTTTAATTAAGGGTTATTTAGGATTGATTTTGAGAGTCAAAATCTATTTAATTTCATAAAATTTGATTAAAATAATATTTAATAAAAGTTTTAAAAGATATAAATGATCTTAATGAGTATATATATATAGAAATCAAGAGGGTAGAGGTGGAAAAAATGAGTCGGGTTAGGCAGGTCAACCCTAACCCGACTCGCCTCAACTTGGGACCGACCTAGGCGGCTTTAGGGTGGGTCGAGTTCAACTCAACCCGCATATCCCCCGCCGAGCAAGCTGAACCTTCATAGGCCAACCCAGCAACCCGACGAGTCAATTTTAAAAAAAAAAACCGTCAAACCTGCCAGATTGGCGGGTCAACCCAACGGGTTGGCAACAATAAAAGATTAAAAAAAAATTTAGCAAAAACTTCAACTACAAATGATTTAATAAAATTGTTTTAGAAAATAAAATTAGAATTAAAAAAAAATACATAGTTGTTATGTTAGTATGGTTTGGAGTGGTAGAGCTAAACAAGATTATATTTGTGACTAGTTATTATTTTGATAACGAATGTAAATTAAATCTTTATTGGGATTTAAATTAATGGATGTAGATCATAGTGGTCAACAACTTTATAATAAAATTGTTAAAGTTTTAGAAGATTATGATATTGTTCACAAAGTAATAAGTTTAACTTTAGATAATGCAAGTGCTAACAGTAAAACTGTAGATTTTTTAAAATAAATTTTCCTTTTTATGATAATTTGAAGTTTTTTCATCAACGGTATGCATGTCACATTATTAATTTAATTATAAAAAGTAGTATGAAAAGAATTAGAAATAATATTGATAGAATTAAGGATTCTTTAGTTTGGATTACTATTAGTAATACAAGAAATTCTTAATTTCAAGATGCTTGTAAAAAATCAAATTTGTCTCCTAAAACTTTTGCATTAGACATGTATGTTAGGTGAAATAGTACTTATTTAATGCTTGATTCATGTTTATCTTATACAAATTTAATTAGTTATTTTGTAGCAAATCATAGGGATCCTCATTATTTGGTAGAGAGTGATTGGCATATAGCTCAAAAATTTCATTTTTTTCTTAAAACTTTTTATCTTGTCACTTTAAAACTTTCTGGTGTGTATTATCCTACTGTCAATTGGTGATACATACACATACAATTATAAAAATTTCAGATTTATTTGCTCGAAATAGAAACAATGAAATTTTAGCAGGACTAATAGAAGCAATAGAATTAAAATTTAAAAAATATTAGAAACTCATTCCTTGTCTTTTTTGTTTAGTTGTCATATTTGATCATAGGATTAAATTAGTGGGTTTAGAAAAATGTTTTAGACATGTTAAGTGAAAATTTACAAGAAGAAGTGTATGCTAATCAACAAGGAGAGATAAGAGAGTGAAGAAGTGTATGCTAATCAACAAGGAGAGATAAGAGAGTGTCTTGAAGAGGTAAATTTGTAATATAAAAGCAAGTATGTGAACTGTGAACCAGTAAAGAGGCGCAATACCTGAGGTACTAGTAGAAGACACAAATGAAGTCTTTAACTCTTGGAGTGCAATTAATAGGCGGAAGAAGATCTGAACCTGAAGCACAACCTCCTCTTCAAAAGCATCAACAACGAATATAATGTCCTCCATGCAGCTGCAAAGTAATGAGCTTTACCAATATTTGGGAACCCCTGACTTGCTACCAGCAAATCCACAATAAAAAGCCAACTTTGATGTCTTAGATTATTGAAAAACCAAAAAATATATTTTTCTAGTACTATCAAGACTTGCCCTGAATATTTTCTCTGTTCTTGTCTCAACCGTCTCATCCGAACAAACATTTAGTGTAAGTGGAAAATTTTTAAATGAAAGAAGGACTAAACTTTCACCAAAATTGATTGAAGTCCTCCCATGTCTTCAAGATTGGGAACGGTCGCGCCATCAAAATTAATACGAGGTTATCGACGATATCCTTTTGGATAAAGAGGCGGGCCTGTTGGTGAGCTGGGTTAGGCCTGATCCATAATTTGGACTACCCACCACGGGTCGGGCCTGGCGGGCCACTTTTCTACCTTTAGAAGAGGGGTTAACCCTATATCCGACAAGGAACATTGTGCTCATTTCCCTACACACATCTAAAGATACCATCATCACATCTATGTTGGGGCCAAAGCTAAGAGTACTTTCTGGGATGAGTCATATAGTGCATGTAGATATACCATCTCACCAAAGCTTAGTGATAGATATTAGATACTCGAACTTAAGACTTTGTCGACATAAGTTATTTTAATGATGAAAAATGCTCTTGTTTTAATTGAGTAAATCATATATAATATTTATGAAAATGATATATTTTATATAAATTGTATTATATAATAAACAAACTTGTCCCTTTAAAATCTTAATATGCATTCTTAAAGCATATGATAAGATAATCAAAACATGAAAATTACATAATTTCATCTATTTTTAACAAAAATATTATCAAATAGGTGGATGAATGGTTAGTTTCCAAACCGAATTATAAAATATACTATATCAAGGTAATCTTTGATATATATATATATATATATATATATGTGTGTGTGTGTGTGTGTGTGTGTGTGTGTGTGTCCTATTATAAAATATATTGTATTAAGGTAATCTTGATACAGTATATATATGTCCTTAAGACAAACATTAATCACGAAAGATGATTATAAACTTTATTATATAAACGGAATTTATCTAAACAAAACAAGAAAATACACACATATATATTATGTCATAAAAATGGTATTTACGAGGGGTTATGTATGATGATGTAAAGTTAAAAATGGGAATTTCTCCAAAATGTTAAAACCAAGTGGAGATTATTTAATAACGATATTTTAGTTTAAAGTTTAAAATTTTTAGTGACTGAAGAATAACAATAATATATAATTTTGGAATTGGTATGAACTGATGTTAAAAAGAATAAAAAGAGTGTTTGGTTAGAAAGTAAATGAAATGAGAAAGAGTGAATAGAGTGGAGAGCTGAGAGTGAGCGAGGAATGAAAAAGGAATTGAAAATCAAAATAACAATCAAGACGAAGGTTTACATATGTTTCGGAAACTAAAATGGTTCAGTACTTTCTCCCATAGAAGTTGGTCGATTAAACGCTTGCCAAATGCTCATCACTTCCCTAACCCTAAGTCTCCCGCCTCGCCTCTGTCGTCAGCACCGACACCTACGGCCACACGGACGGAGGCGGTCGATGTTACTTTAGATACTCTTCATGAAATCGCTGTTTACATTCACAGGTTTCATAATCTTGATCTTTTCCAGCAAGGGTAAGTTCACAGTCTTCGTTTTTTAATATTTTATTTTATTTTTGCTAATAATGCTTACTTGTTTGAAAATTAACCAAAAAATGAAAATTTAGATGGTATCAAATTAAGATTAGTATGAGATGGGAGGACAGCGAGTCGATGGGAACACCGGCACGTGTTGTTCAATATGAAGGTACATTTTTTTTTTTTTTTTGTTTAAATTTGATTATTTGAGCTTATAGTTGGTATCTCTTTCTCGGTTTTCTACTATGGCTGGGTGATTAAGCAAAATGTGGTGATTTTGATGCATGTAATAGTTTTTGAGATCATTGACAGAAAGTTTAACTGAACATGCAGAGATTGGAAGTTAAGTAGATATGTATAGAATCAGAGTGGGGAAAGAGTTTGAAGATATTTTAATTGTATTATGTTTGTTGTTATTTTTGGTATCCGAAGTTGAGAGAAAACAATTCCAATGTTACTTAAATGAGACACAAAACATTTTTATTTTAACAAGTAAAATTCCAAAGGAAGAATTTTCTAAATTAAATGTATGTTTAGGTTTAAGTTTGGTATCATTCTCTCAAGTCTGAGAAAAACTTGACTTTATGCAAATTAAGTTAGTATTAGGTGTATACTGCCGATTGACTATGACACATTAAATTATTGCTTGTGGATATAGCAATTTGATTAACATAGATATCAGTAAAATGGTACACTAAACACGTGCGATATTGGAAGAACTTGCTAGCTAGGAAGTTGGAACAGATGAACTAGCTGTAGAAACATAAATAGAAACACAGGAGGCTTGAGAGGGCCTTAGTCAGTAAATAAAGGTGCCTCATTAAACACTAAACTAGAGTTATATTGGAAGGCAAACCAAGTGTATAAAGTTTTTGACACGATAGGATGCGCATAATGTTTGAGAGAATGTATACAGACATTTGTTTGCATATTCACTAGACTAAGATGTCTTAATGGTGTGCACATTATCATCCTCAAGGATTTGAAGACAATTTTACCTAATGAGGCTCGTAGGATCTTACACATAGGATGAATCAATGAATCAACAATCTGGGGAGTTTTCAGAAATTAGTTGGGACTCGAGTATTCTTGGGGTTTGGAACTTTTCGAGTCTCAATCTGAAACAGTTGTGTGCTGATAGAGTACTTCAAGTACATGCTATGGAAGGACTGGGGGCTTGAATCACTAAGAAATTGTCTAAAGGCTCTCTATATTGGAAGCCCAGAGTTTTGAGGAATGGTTTAAGCAGGTTGGTATGTTCATGAAATTTGTAATAAGGTTTGAAAATTTGTCAACTAAAGATCTGTTGTCCATTTTAAAAACTTTATTGAATCAAAAGAATGTCTTTCTCAAACATCCACAAAAATGGATGTTTGAGCTTGAAACACTGGTGAAACTGATCAAGTTGGCCAAAGAGCATAAAAAATATTCTAGTGTAACAGAATCAAGTGTCGTACAAGTTGGTTAGCATATTAGTATGTGAGATGTCTCATAGATGGTTTTTTGGGTCAATAATAGTGGAGATAACAATTCTGAGACTGAATAGTGACTGTGATGGCAGGAATCTCGTGGTTGTCCAGGATCAGTGGACTGGAAGTGGCAATGACAATGTGGGTGTTTGGTATCGGATTACAATGTGAGATCTGTGTCCTGGCATGAACACTTGACTATTTACATGAAGGCGTTTACAGAACGTGTTTGACAGTGTCTAGATGGGAAGTGGGTGCTTTCTTTATGAAGGCTGTGGAATTTTACTAGCATGAATGCTTGACTATTTACATGAAGGCGTTTTCAGAATGTGTTTGACAGTGTCTAGATGGGAAGTGGGTGCTTTCTTTATGAAGGCTGTGGAATTTTATTGACTTCGTTTTGCTGTTTTAAGGAAGCATTTGGAATAAAAGTTTCTCTATATACTAATTAATGTGGAAAAAAAGGAGAGAAGAAGAGAGAAGATAATAGAGAAATTGATGGAAAGGAACAAAAATTAGAGAAAGAATAGAAATTGCAGAGAGAACAGAAGTTAGGAGGGAAGGTGACTATAGGAGAGAGAAGATAGAGAATGTTAAGAAATCCATAACCACTCCACTGACAAACACTGAACTGATGACTTAGGATGGCCTTCAAGTTACGGTCTGACCTAAGATTAACTTAAAACAGAATCTATATCAAGAAGCAGTGCCACACTAAATGTCTTCTGTCACTTTTTGCTCTTATCAATCACCAGCAAATTGACCAATCTTTAACTTGTTTGTTGAAACATTACATTACTTTTGAATATAGTGTGAAGAGTGCTTCTTTGATATTGGTATTTATAAAACCTTACAAAAGCTGTTTTCTGTTTTATTTTATTTGACATTTTCAGTTTTCTGCAGTGTTTGATGTCTTTTTGAATTTTCTAAAGTCTTTTTGTCATCTTTTAATATGCTTGTTAATGCTCTGCATTTTGTCATTTTATTATATTTGATCTATTCATGAGCTTGTCCTTTGATGTTTCTTTCAGTTAAATTAAGAGCTAAGAAATATTAACACTTTTTGGGGCTGCAGCTCCTGAACTGGGTCCTGAAGATACTTATGGGGTTTGGAGGATTGATGATATGGAAAACAGTTTTTCGACACAACCTTTCCGGATCAGATATGCAAGGCAGGATGTTTATCTATCAATTATGATTGCATTCAATTTATCTGATAGTAGACATGAGGTAGTTACCTCATTCTTCTTCCTTCTTTTTTTTTTTTTTTTTTTATTTTTTTTTGTTAAACATTTTTTAACCGCAGATTTGATATGAAATTAACTATGTTATTGACTAAAGTTTGGAGATCTTCAAATGGCCAGGGAAGTAAAGCCAATTTAAAATAAACAAAGAACGGTGACTGGAACGTTGAATTTAAAACAGTTTGTTTTATCCAAATGCCAGTTATCTTAGCCACCATCACTGGAAAAACAATGCTGAATGTTGTATATCTTGTGCCCTGAGAGAGCGGGCGGGTGGGTGGGGTGGGGTTTAGTCATTGTTGGAGGATCTTAAAACTGAAATAGTTTAGAACAAAATTGGAAGTTTGTACCTTTATGATATTTAGAAATAACTCCAGTCTAACATTCAATGTAACCTATATTATCTATTTCTGCTCCTTGGCATGTTCCTATTGGTTACTAGAGTTTAATGTTTCTCACAATGTCATTGGAACTGATATAGCATTTAATTTTCAGGGCCCATCAACATCTGCTGTTATATTGAAGTTTGAGCTCATGTATTCTCCTGGGCTGGAGAGTGGGTTAGTTAACAATACTTAGTTTCTAGTTTTTGCCCAACAAAATGAAGTTACACACTTGGTGAATGGAATAGGATGTCCATTTAATTATTCTTTGAGGCTGAAATGGTGATTGTATTTGTGCAGCCCTGAGTTGCAATCATCTCTTGGTGCATGTCCTGCTGCCGTTCATGAATTCCGAATTCCTCCCAAAGCACTTCTAGGATTGCATTCTTATTGCCCTGTTCATTTTGATGCTTTGCACACTGTCCTTGTTGACGTAAGTGTACACATCAGTCTACTAAAAGCTAGTTCGTCCACGGCCTCATTGAAGGTACCCATTAAGCTAGTCACGAACTCTATCTATTTCTACCCTATATTGACAGCTTTACTGTCAGTTCATTGAAGTTACTCTTGATTGCCTACTGATAATTATGGATTATTTTTTTATTAAGGTAACTTGCTCAATAAAATTATTCCAGTGATTCTTATACCATGGAAGACGTCCCTTGGGTCAAATTAACAATTTTCTCTAACTGTAAATAATTTTTTCTTGAAACTGTTACCTGGTGTTCTTGGTTAGCATGTTATTAAGTTTCTATATATGGTTTGTATTTTTGGTTCTCAACTGTATCACTCATGGATGTCCAACTCTTCATGATTGTATGTATTCGAAAGAGGCCTTGAGCACTGTGAAAAACAGAGAACTGATTGTAATTTTATTATATATGTATTGATAAATTATATATCAATATATAGGAAAATAAAGATCTAATCTAGGAAACAAATTATCTAATCTAGGAAATGAATAATCTAACTTCCTATTTTACAGATTTGTTCTTAATATATATTGATTACAATCTTAATATCCTATTATAGATTTATACACTTAATCATGCAATATCTGCAAGATTTTGCATGATTATCTACAACACTCCCTCTCAAGATGGAGCATAGATGTTAATTATGCCTAGCTTGTTACAAATATAATCAATCCAAACCCCATTCAAAGCTTTAGTGAAAACATCTCCTAGTTGCTCTCCAGTCCTCACATATCCTGTAGAAATTAAACTTTGCTGTATTTTCTCACGAATAAAATGACAGTCAATTTCAATGTGCTTAGTTCGTTCATGAAATACGGGATTAGAAGCAATATGAAGAGCGGCTTGGTTATCACACCACAATTTTGCTGGCAAAGAGGCCATAAGACCAACTTCAGTCAAAAACTAATATATCCATATTACTTCACACACAGACTGGGCCATAGCCCTATATTCCGATTCTGCACTAGATCGGGACACAACAGTTTGCTTCTTACTTCTCCATGAGACCAAATTTCCACCAATAAAAACACAGTAGCCTGTAGTGGATCTCCTATCTATCTTGGAACCCGCCCAATCTGCATCAGAGAAGCACTCAATATTATTATGTCCATGATTTCCGTACAAAATACCACGTCCTGGAGCTCCTTTCAGATAACACAGAATCTGTTCTAACGCTGCCCAATGATCAACAGTAGGAGAAGACATGAATTGACTTACTACACTGACAGAGTACGCAATATCAGGACGAGTGACCGTTAGATAGTTCAACTTTCCAACCAATCTTCTGTACCTCTCAGGATCTTCAAATAGTTCACCATCTTTGGTAAGTTGCGAATTAGGAAACATTGGCGTACTACATGGCTTAGCACTCAATTTTCCTGTCTCAGTTAATAAGTCAAGTACATATTTTCTTTGAGAGAGGAAGATGCCTTTCTTGCTCCTTGTTACCTCAACCCCTAAGAAATACTTCAACACTCCTAAATCTTTTGTATGAAACTGAGTGTGAAGAAATGACTTAAGTAATGAAATCCCTGTAGTGTCACTCCCAGTGATGATAATGTCATCAACATATACAACAAGAAGAATAATGCCAACTGCCGATTGTTTGTAAAAGACTGAGTGATCAGACTTGCTCTTTGTCATTCCGAACTTTGCAACTACCTCACTAAACTTTCCAAACCAAGCACGTGGACTCTGTTTCAAACCATACAACGATTTGCGAAGATGACAAACTTTCCCATACTCCCCCTGAGCAACAAATCCAGGTGGTTGCTCCATATAGACTTCTTCTTGAAGGTCACCATGTAAAAAGGCATTTTTTATGTCCAACTGATGTAATGGCCAGGAATGAGTAGCTGCCATAGAGATAAATAAGCGAACAGAAGTCAATTTAGCCACAGGGGAAAAAGTGTCAGAATAATCCACTCCATAAGTTTGAGCATAGCCTTTAGCTACAAGACGAGCTTTAAGCCTAGCCACTGACCCATCAGGATTTACTTTAACAGCAAACACCCATTTGCATCCAATAGGCTTCTTTCCAGTAGGTAAGTCAACCAAGTTCCAAGTACCATTAACATCTAAAGCATTCATCTCTTCTATCATAGCATCACGCCAACCAGGATGAGATAAGGCTTCATGAACAGTTGCAGGAAGGGAGACAGAGTCTAGTGATGCCACAAAAGAACAAGAAGATGATAGGTGATCATAAGAAACAAATGAAGAGATAGGATTAGTACACTGACGTTTACCTTTCTGAAGAGCAATAGGAAGATCAAGATCACTTAAGATTGGATCCAACGAACGAAGAGTCTTGGGTAGGACATGAAGTCTAAGTGTCTTCTTGACGAGGAACACAGGTATCGGGATCACTGGAGACTGGGTCTAACTACGAATGGACTGATATAGGATGTTCCTGTAGACGAGAATAGACAATGCGAATTGGAGGTAGTGGACGGACATGTGGTGGTGCCGGAGGAGGAACAGTAGGTGGGGAAGCCTCAGGTGTGGGAGTAGGCGGTAGGGATGTGGTAGTATAGATTAGTAAGTCATCGTCCTCCCTCAGACGCATATAGGTACGCGAAGTAGGAAAAAAATGGGTGTTTTCTAAGAAAGTAACATCAGGTGATACCATATATCTATTAAGACTAGGACAATAACATCGATATCCCTTCTGAAGGCGAGAGTAACCTAGAAAAACACATTTAAGAAATTTGGGATCTAACTTGGTTACCTGGAGTCGAACATCACGAAAAAAACAAGTACTATCAAATATCTTTGCGGCAATAGGAAACAAAGGCTTAGACGGGAAGAGAACACTGTAAGGAGTGGAACTATTTAGAATAGAGGAAGGCATGCGGTTAATTAGAAAACAGGCCGTGGAAATTGCATCGGCCCAAAACTGTTTAGGAACTTGCATTTGAAATAGTAGGGCTCGAGCGGTTTCAAGAAGGTGCCTATTGTTCTCTTGGCTACATTTTGGGACAGTGAGTTAACACAAAAGGATTGATGAAGAATGCCATGCTGGCTCATATAAGATTGAAAAGAACTCAAAAAATATTCTTTGGCATTATTGCTTCTTAATGTTTGGACAGAAGTATTAAATTGAGTTTTAACTTCAGCACAAAAGGCACAAAAATGAGAAAACAACTCAGAACGATTTTTCATTAAATAAAGCCAAGTTACACGAGAGTTGTCATCAACAAAGGTAACAAAATATTTAAATCCAGGTTTAGACATAATAGAACACGGACCCCAAACATCTGAATGAATTAATTCAAAAGGGACACTAGCCCGTTTATTGACTCTTGGACTAGAAGAAAGACGGTGGTGTTTGTCAAATTGACATGACTCACAATCTAACGAAGATAATTTATTAAACTGAGGACATAGTTTCTTTAACAATGGTAAAGAAGGATGTCCTAACCGACAATGCGCCTCAAAAGGGGTCGAAATACTGGAACATGCAATGGTTCTGGGCACTTGTGTGTCAAGGATGTAAAGCCCTCCAGATTCATGTCCTTTACCAATAATCTGCTTCGTCGTAAGATCCTGAAACAGGCAATGATCAGGGAAAAATGAGATGCAACATTTAAGAGCACGAGTGAGTTTACTCACAGAAATTAAATTAAAAGCGAACTGTGGTAGACTCAATACAGAGGATAGGGAAATTAACGGAGTAGGGTTAACAGACCCAGACCCAAGAACACAAGAAGTTGACCCATCAGCTAAAGTAACATTAGACGAGGAATTATGTGACTGATATGATGAAAAGAGACTAGGATTACCTGTCATATGATCTGTGGCACCAGAATCAATGACCCATTTGGAGGATGAGGAAATAAGACATGTTTTTGGTTTACCTGACTCGTCGAGAGCAGTGATGGAAGTAGATGAGGACTTCAATGATTCTTGATAGTGAGAAAACTTGGCAAACTTATCAGCTGAAATCATAACCATCTTCTTAGAAGTATCAGTAGCGTCAACATGAGCTGGTTGAGGTTTTTGGGCAACTTTCTACACGTGCGCTTTGTATGACCGGGTTCATGACAATAGTAGCACACAATCCCTCCTAATTCCTGATTTTGATTCTCACGATAATTCGAACCTTCTCCTCTATTATTGCTCCTGTTATATGAACGCCCGGTGTCATGATTCTGACTTACAAGAGCACTACTCGATTGAACAAATAGAGTGCTTTTTGTACGAAGAACCCTAGTAAATATGTCTAGGAGGGAGGTGATCTCAGAACTAGCAAGAACCTGAGATTTAGCAGATTCAAACTCAGAAGGGAGTCCAACTAGGAAACTCATAATCGCCATTTTCTCTCGTTGAGCTTGTTGAACTTTCACATTAGCACTCATTGGTAGAAGAATGTTAACTTCTTCATATATCCTTTTAAAATCCATAAAATAGGCCGTAAGAGACCTATCTTGTTTCTCAGCTCGATAAAAAGCTTTGCATACATAAAAAATACGAGAAACATTCCCCTTCCTAGAATACAAAAAATCTAGATAGTCCATCAATTCCTTCACATATTCACAATGATTAATTAAACCAAGTATCTCACTGTTGATAGAGTTCCGTATCTACAAGAACAACTAAGCATCCTCTCTCAACCATGTTTGCTTTGAATCGTCTTCAGACGAATCTTTGGTGAGATGATCCTCTTTACCAATGCTTCGCAGATAAAGACGAATTATCTTACTCCAATCAAAATAGTTATCAGACCTATTAAGCTTATGTTCTGTAATTTTTGATATTACAGGAACCATATCAATTATAGACGTATCAGTCATGGTAAGAAGATGAAAATAGCCAACAAAAAACTCTTCAAAGAACGAACTCTATACCAACAGAAACCAACAAAACTTATACCATGTTACAAACAAAGAACTGATTGTAATAGTTTTCATATTGTATTGACAAATTATACATCAATATATAGGAAAATAAAGAACTAATCTAGGAAATAAATAATCTAACTTCCTATTTTACAGATTTGTTCTTAATATGTATTGATTACAATCATAATATCCTATTATAGATTTATACAGTTAATCATGCAATATCTGTAAGATTTTGCATGATTATCTACAACAGTAAAGAAGGATGTCTTAACTGACAATGCGCCTCAAAAGGGGTCGAAATACTGGAACATGCAATGGTTCTGGACACTTGTGTGTCAAGGATGTAGATCCCTCTAGATTCATGTCCTTTACCAATAATTTGCCTCGTCGTAAGATCCTGAAACAGGCAATGATCAGGGAAAAATGAGATGCAACATTTAAGAGCACGAGTGAGTTTACTCACAGAAATTAAATTAAAAGCGAACTGTGGTAGACTCAATACAGAGGATAGGGAAATTAACGGAGTAGGGTTAACAGACTCAGACCCAAGAACACAAGAAGTTGACCCATCAGCTAAAGTAACATTAGACGAGGAATTATGTGACTGAGATGATGAAAAGAGACTAGGATTACCTGTCATATGATCTGTGGCGCCAGAATCAATGATCCATTTGGAGGATGAGGAAATAAGACATGTATTTGGTTTACCTGACTCAGCGGGAGCAGTGATGGAAGTAGATGAGGACTTCAATGATTCTTGATACTGAGAAAACTTGGCAAACTCATTAGCTGAAATCATAACCTTCTTCTCAAAAGTATAAGTAGCGGCAGCATGAGCTGGCTGAGGTTTCTAGGCCTTATTTTGCAATTTTCTACACGTGCGCTTTGTATGACCGGGTTCATGACAGTAGTAGCACACAATCCCTCTTGACTCCTGACTCTGATTATCATGATTATTCGAACCCCCTTCTCTATTATTGCTCTTGTTATATGAACGCTCGGTGTCATTATTTTGACTTACAAGAGCACAACTCGATTGAACATATGGAGTGCTTTCTGTACGAAGAACACTAGTAAATACATCTTGGAGGGAAGCGATCTCAGAATTGGCAAGGACCTGAGATTTAGCAGATTCAAACTCAGAAGGGAGTCCAGCTAGGAAACTCATAACCACCATTTTCTCTCGTTGAGTTTGTTGAGCTTTCACATCAGCACTCATCGGTAAAATGACATTAAGTTCTTTATATATCTTTTTAAAGTCCATAATATAGGCCGTAAGAGACCTATCTTGTTTCTCAGCTTGATAAAAGGCTTTGCATACATAAAAAATATGAGAAACATTCCCTTTCCCAGAATAAAAAAATCTAGATTGTCCATCAACTCTTTCACATATTCACAATGATTAATTAAACCAAGTACCTCACTGTTGATGAAGTTCCGTATCTGCAAGAACAACCGGGCATCCTCTCTCAACCATGTTTGCTGTGAATCGTCTTCAGATGAATCTTTTGTGAGATGATCATCTTTACCAATGCTTTGCAAGTAGAGACGAATTGTCTTACTCCAATCAAAATAGTTATCAGACCCATTAAGCTTATGTTCCGTAATTTTTGATATTACAGGAACCATATCAGTTATAGGCTTATCAGCCATGGTAAGAAGACGAAAAATTGATCTCAACACAAATAGTCAACACAACTCTTCAAAGAACAAAATCTGATACCAACAGAAATCAACAAAACTTATTTGACTTGGCTGAGATATTGAGGAATCGGTCACACAGACTTGTCGGAAATATCAAGATGAAGCCGGGAAGGGTGATCGGAGCACTGTCCTCCGTCACACGTGCCCCCACGCACCAGCGCGTGAAGATTGCCGTAGATGAAAAAGGTGGCGCGTGAGACTCACGCGCTGCTCCTCCGGTGACCGGACTTCAGGGAATGGTCGATTGGCAGGAGGGGCTTCTTCCTAGACAGGTGGTGAGAAAAAAAGGCCACTCTCCAGGGTGACTTACAAATAATGCTCACTTGGGCAGAGAAAAGAAAACAAAATTGAGAAACAACCTAGAATTGCTTTGATACCATGTGAAAAACAGAGAATTGATTGTAATTTTATTATATATGTATTGATAAATTATACATCAATATATAGGAAAATAAAAAACTAATCTAGGAAACAAATAATCTAATCTAGGAAATGAATAATCTAACTTCCTATTTTACAGATTTGTTCTTAATATATATTGATTACAATCCTAATATCCTATTATAGATTTATACACTTAATCAGACAATATCTGTAAGATTTTACATGATTATCTACAACAAGCACAAAGAGGAAAAAGTGGAAGCACATCATGGAGGTCTAAAATTCTTCAATTGCTCTACGTGTGCTCAAAATAAGTGTCGATTTGTTTACCAACTAAATTTCTCCTTTGAATCTTTGACTAAATGATTTACAAAGAAATTTGAAGTCAGTGCTGTCCTTTTTCATACTTGAAATATACCTCGGGGGATGTGTGGTGAGAACCAAATATTAAGATTCGTCAAAATTAAGATGACAGCATGAATGTGCAACTCAACTCGTTGAAATGCCCAGTCTTACATTCTTTTCTCTCTGAACATTCCACATTGAGCGAATCACTTTCCTAGCTACAAAGAAGTAAAATTTTCCCCTTTCATATTCCATTTGCTGGCTCACTGATGTATGCAGAACTCAAGAAAACCAAAATAGTGAGAATACCATAAAAAACATTTTACACTGCCTGATTCTGAGGTGAGAAATAATCATTTTTCACTATTGCCCTTCCTCATATAACTGTTAAAAATAATTAATTAATTTTTTTCATATCTTCAGTACATTACTCACACACAGAGAGAGAGAGAGAGAGAGAGTGATGAACACCCCACCTGCAAATCCACAGACAGTCCAGCAATCTATCCACACACAATCAACACACACTCAAATGACAAAGATCCTGTTATATTACTAACCAACAGTACCATACGTCCACAGAATATTCATTCAATAGTAATGTCCTAGCAGTACTCTATGGCCTATGACAGAGATCAAATAACAAGTACAAACGAAAATGGATATTGCAGGACTGACTTCGAGGGTCAGCAGCCTCCACAATGACTGACTTCGAGGGTCAGTAGCCTCCCTTCCAAAATGGCTTAAATCTCTGAATACCCTCCCTCTTGCATCCAGCCCTTTTTATTCTCTCCTGACACCTTTTGATTTCTAACAGAATTCTCTTCTCTCCACTCCTCACAAGCCACCTGTCCCACTTATAACAAACTCTAACCTCCTGCCTAACCAATATTCCCCTGCTTCTTCCCTCTCTTCTTCCTACGGTAGACCATACCCTCTGGTTGCTCGACAGAGAGAGAGAGACGTTAGAAATGAGTTGAAGGGATGTAATTGTTTGGCTGTCATCACTCAGCCTATGCGATGAAGTTTCTACAACATCTTTTGTATTGGGTAGATTCATGTAAATTTTTAGATTTTAGAATTTACGGTTTTGTATGAAGTTAGATCTTTGAATTTATTTTGTTAAACTATGCAAATTTACTACTGTTAACAAATTTTAAGGCGATTTGAGAGTTTATTTTCTTTTCACTTTTTGTTTATGTTTTGTTAAGCAAGTGCTCAATAATTGTCCTTTTGTTATTCACAGTCAGGCTTCAAAACCGGGGATGCATGGGGTCCGTTGGCTTCTGTAGGTCGCAAACAGGTCATGCTCATTAAAGCCCTAATATCTGCCTATGAAATTCTTCTTGGAGATCTACAAAGAATCAGCAAGGCAATTGACCATGCACTTGATTTGACTGATTGTACTTCCAAGCTGGATGATATGAAGTTTGTTGGTTCTGTGGACTGCACAGTTTTAGGACAATTCTCAGGCATGCAACAGAATGGTGTTGAGGTCTTTGATTTATTTCTGAGAGTGGACTGTTTTCAATTCTTTTCCATAATCTTCATTATTTTACTTAATATTTTCCTCTCCTTTCGCAGAAGGCCAAAGTTAAAACTGATTTAAGTGATGAACTGTCTTACTCTATATCATGGGATGATCTATTAAATGCTTTTCAAATACTGGGCAATCAAATTTTGTACTTGTGGAATACATTTTTGATGTTTCACCGGTATGTTTCACATTAAATTATATTAATTTTAGCATTTTTTTTTTTAATTTCATTTTGTTAGTTGTGCTTTTCATTTATGTCTTTGATATTAAATATTTCTACAAATGAACTTCATAGTAGCTATAGAGAATTACATTATATATGACCTATATGTACTATTTATTGTCATGTCATGATATTTAATATTCTTTCTTGTCCAACTCGCCTTTATTGATGTAAAGTATGTAGCATAGGAACTATCATGACCTTGTGGCTGAAGCTAATTGTTTCACTAATTTAGGGAATTCAATCTGACCAACAGTGTTGGTAAAGGATGGAGTGTTGTTAATTGACAACTCCAGCTTGAATACAGTGCTTTTTGTAGTTCAGTTTTATGTCGTGAGATGTAGTGATGATCAAAGCTCTGTCAAACTTGGCACTCAAAGAATTATGCAAATTTTAGGGAATGTTTTAGCCAGACTGCTTATAGAGTTATAATTAAAATTAATGCTAGTAGATTTATTAGTGAATTGTTTATTTATACATTCATGAAGACAAGTGAAAAGTGATATGGAGTTTGATTTTGAGAAACTATTTAGCATGCACCAACCTTGCTCCTAAAAACTCCTATTATTGCGTTTCCTTAAGGTCATTAAGAAAGTCAATAGCATTTATGGTTTTGTTTTGGGGCTTCTTTACCTGAAAGGTCTCTACTTATCAAGGGAACCCTAGGTGGTATATACTAGCGTAGGGACTCTCATGATAGCTATTTGAGACTCTTGCACATGGTCTTACTCTCATATGCTTGGTGCTCCAATGTGGTCCCTGCTAAGACTGCTTGTGACTGTATACGATTGGCTAGTTAATGAAATAAGGTGCCTAACTGCATCAAATAGTTGGTAATAATTATCATAGACTTGCACCTAATAAGTTTTGCCCTTATTAGAAGTACTCGTATTTTTTGTTTTGAAAAAGACAAGGACTCCTTTTTAGCCTAAATAAACAACTTAACATCATTTTACTTGATTATTGATCTATATTGTGTGCTTATCTTGTAGTTATGTTGTAGATAAAGAGTTGAACCTGTATATTCTGCTAAATTGTCATTTGTTCTATTTCCTTCTTTTGTTTAAATCACTCCAGGGCTAACAGAGCAAAGGTAATGGAATTTCTGTGTGATACATGGGCTAATGATCGGAAAGCTGAATGGTCAATATGGATGGTGTACTCCAAAGTTGAAATGCCTAGTCACTTCTTAAGTACTGGAGTTGATGAATCTTACCAGCCCTTCCATGCAAAAGCTTTGAGTTTGCGGAAGTATAGCGTCAGTGAAGATGTAATTAACATCAACTTCTACATCTACTTTGCCTTTCTCATTTCAGTAGTAAATTGTACAGAATTTTGAGTCTTTTCTAAAGCTTTAGGTTAAAGCTAAGATCGTGTTTGCAACTGTTAGGCACTCCTATCATACCTATCTGTACATGATGCACAGCATAACCTCTAATTCTAGCCATTTTTTTTTCTCTGGACAGCCTGCACAAAGTGCAGCTATGCGTGCTGAGCTACATTGGCGAAGCATTGCTCAGATGAGAGTGAGTTATTGGTTTTTAGTGCTTCATTCTACTTACACTTTTTGCTCATTTTATGAATTGCTGTGGCATCTGAGCAGATCAACAATCGATCACTTCAGGACATGCACATTTTTGGAGATCCTTCACATATTCCTATTGTAATAGTAGAACATGTCACGAGTGCACCATTACTTACAACCAGTGGAAATTCATATTTTAGCCAGTTAGACCAGAGAGAGAACCATGGATTTCTCATTAGACCTAGCGTTGAAGCTATAAAAAAGTCAACTGGAGCTAGCTCACAACCATCTGATCATGTTTTGAAAATAGTTGTCTTTGTACATGGGTTTCAGGTTTGTTCTACTCATTTCAGCTTGAATGAATTATTAATTTATCTTTTCTGGTGGCTTTGATAATATGTAGTTCATTGAATATGAACTAGTAACTTTTTCCTAGGAAGGTGAAGCTTCTGATTAATGTATATTCTCTTGGTAAGTTTGATGGGTTTCAGGGCCATACCACAATGCTTGTTTGTGGCGTTGCTTTTCTCATCTTGTTATATCTATCTAACCAAAAGTAAACTGCAAATTGGTTAAGATTTCCACGATCTGACTGATGATACTATCATCTGTCTTCAAACATGTATTCCTTTCATTGGCCCAGCCTTTAACGATTGAAGAGTCTCTTTCCATTTTTTCATGCCTCAGGCCAAAGCAGATTGTGTCCATTTTTCATTCTGTTTTTCTTATCTTACTTTTTGTTTTCCTTTATATTCTTTAAGCTCTAAGTTCATTGTATATGCCAGTCAAATCTTTTGAGAAGTTACTGTAGTTTTGTGTTGAGGTTATAAGGTAATTTTTTTATGACCTTTGTGACTTTCATTGCTACATATAGTAAATGGGGCTATGCATTCTGTCCGGTATTGGCGTTATGCGACACTAGTCCTATCGTCTGACCCAACCAAAGACGACGACTCTTTGTAAAAGCAAAATTGTTGACCCGAAAGAATCAATGAAGAAATATTGCATATTCCCATTATATAGTGTAGATTTGAGAGAACAACAATGCTTTATTCTGTGATGATTATGGCTGGAAACAGACTAGTTATTTATACAAGTTTAGGACAAACTGAAAAAAGAAAGGAATAAAAAATCCCTATTTTAATACAAGAATCAAGGCTGAAGATCCCTGATTTTCATACTAGAATCAAGGCTGAACAACAGCTGTAGTTACACAACTGTAAATTAGATTCTGTTTTCTACACTCCCCCACAAGCTGGGTTATAGATATTAGTCATACCCAGCTGGATCTCAAATCTTCAAAACTCATTCTAGGAAGAGCCTTAGTGAGGATGTTAGCTGTTTGGAAAGTGTTGGAATGTAAACCATTGAGATGATTCAGCAATCAGCATCGGTAAATATCTCCACATCTCTTTTGTGTTTTCTTGAAATACAATCCCTTTCTTGGAGTCATTTTTAGATATCTTAGAATCCGATAAACAGCTTCCATGTGTTCCTCAGTTGGATTATTCATGAATGACTAATCATGCTGACAGAAAAACTGACATCAGGCCTAGTGTGAGAAAGATAGATAAGTTTTCCAACAAGTCTTGATATATTTCTTGTCAACTGGAGCACTTCCTTCTGCAACCCACCTTTGTAGTATAGTACATAGGTGTATCAGCAGGTTTACAGATAGCATGCTAGTTTCCTTCAATAAATCAAGGACATATTTCGCTGCAAGACAACAATTCCCTTCTTTGATCGAGCAATTTCCATTCCGAGGAAGTATTTAAGATTTCCCAAGTCTTTGATTTCGAACTTTTTAGCAAGGAATTTCTTGAGATTATTATTTCCTCCTCATGATCTCCTGTCAAAATTATATCATCTACAATACAATGATGATGGCTAATGCTCCCCCAATAGATTGTTTTACGAATAAGGTATGATCAGACTGACATTGTGAATACCGAACTTTTTCATAGCGTTGGTAAAACAGTCAAACCAAGCTCGAGGGGACTGTTGAGCCATAAAGAGATTTTCTGATCTGCATACTTTGTTAATATTAGCTTGAGTCTCCAATCCTGAGGGAATTTGCATATATCTTCTTTAGGTCACCATAAGAAAGCATTCTTGATATCTAGTTGATGAAGACACTAGTCACAGTTTGCACAGGGATAACAGACTCTGATTGTGTCAATTTTGCAAAGGTGCAAAAGTCTCTTGGTAGTCAATTCCATAGGACTAAGTGAAGCCCTTTGACAAGTGTGCTTTGAACCTGTCAATACTTCCGTCCTTTGTATTTTACTGTGAAAATCCACTTGCATCCCACTGGATTTCTCCTCTGGGAGTTCGCAAGTTCCCATGTGTCATTCTTTTCTAAAGCTTTGACTTCATCTTCAATGGCAGCTTCCACTAGGTACTGTAGTGCTCTTTGAACATTGTTGGAATCTGATAACCAGTAAGATTGGCAACAAATGCCGATATCTTATTGACAATTTTGTAAGAGAGGAAGTTATAGAGATTGGGTGGTGTGCATGATCTGGTTCTTTCTTTTTGCAATAGGTAAATCAAGATTATTATTCACTATCTGTAGAACGATGAGATCTTGTTATGTTACCTGAAGGTGTTCCCTCTGGATTTGATTCAGTTCATCTTCATGGACTGGCTTGGGAGTGTTGGTCCTCTAATCTTCTTGATTTTCCTTTTTTCCTGGAATAGACAATGAACTCGCTGTTTTTCACAGTTTGAGGGAGTTGATTGAGAAATGAGTGGAGTTGGAGTACTTGACTGGCTTTAGAAGAATTAGACTCAGAATCGATAATGAGCATTTCGGATGCAGGGATTCTTATTGGTATCCGACTATGGGAGCTATGGTGTCTCGATTGGTTCTGTTTCCCAAATTGGTATTCCTAGATTCTATTCTCCCCCTGAATATCATTTTGGGATAATATGTCTGGTTTTCTAAAAAGTTTACATCCATTGTGTTGTAGAATTTTCTTGTGAGTGGGGAGTAATACTTGTATCATTTTTGACTCGATGAATACCCTAGAAAGATGCACTTAATACCCCTTGGATCAAGTTTACTTTGGTTGGTTGTTTATAAACAAACGCATACAACCAAACACTTTGGTGGAAGAGTGAAAATTAGCCGAGATGAGGATATGATTGAGTAAGATTTGACAAGGAGTTTGGAAATTAACACATGGAAGGCATTCTATTTATGAGATAAGTGGCAGTGAGAAAAACTTCTCTCCAAAAAATTTTGGGACATTGGTGGAGAACATGAGTGATCTTGCAACTTCTAACAAGTGCCTATTTTTTCTTTCAGTTACCCCATTTTGTTGTGGGGTATAATGCATGAATTTTGATGAACTATTCCTTCTTTTAACAAGTAATTACCTGGAAAAGAATTGAAATAACCTTTGCATTGTCGTTTTCAAAACTTGTATTTTGACATGGAATGTGTTTGAATCATGGTATGAAAGTTTTGAAAATTTGACTTACTTCAGATTTGTCTTTTCTTAAGAATACCCAAGAAATTCTAGTGTGATCATCAATGAATAAACAAACCATTTAGTGCCAGTAACATTTCTTATTCTAGTGATCCCCAGACATCACTATGAATCATTGAAAAAGGGTAAGATGGTTCATAAAACTGAATTGGGTAAGAGTTGTGAACTTGTTTAGTAATTGACATATTTCATACTGAAAATTCTGGAATATTCTTAAATAATGTGGGAAAAGTTTTTGAGATACATGAAATTAGGATGACCCAATTGATAGTGCCATAACTAACACTATCTCATTATTTGGAACAAAACAGAAAAAGAATTTTTCACCACCTGTGGACTGAGGTTGTTTTCAGGAAAATCAGTGGTCTTGAGGATATAGAGACCCGAAACATATCAACACTGCCAATCGTCTTCCCCAAATCCAGATCTTGAAAAACACATAATGGGAAAATTTAGTAACACAATTCTTATCTCGAGTGAGTTTACTGATAGATAGCAGATTACAATCAAGATTAGGAACAAAAGAACAGATCAGATAAGAGTTAGGTCCTTGGAAATAACAATAGACCCAAGCCAGCTACATTTGAGAGAGAACCATCTGCAATACGAACAATGAAATTTCCAGCACAAGATGTATAATTTTTAAACATTGTAATATCTCCTGAACAGTGATCAGATGTTCGGAGTCGATAATCCAATAGTTTCCATGTTCTTTTCTTACATTTAGGGCTATGAGAGAGTTACCTTTTTGGGCCAAAGATCCAGATCCAGGACAGAATGGAATTGGGATGATGGACCTTGTGTGGATTGAGTGATCAATTTTTGTAGAATTTCCAATTGTTCCTTGCTGAATGGACTTGGGTTTGGATCTGCTGGTTATCCTCAATTGAAACATGGTGGCCACGACTTTCCCTAGGCTTCCAATTTGCTGGTTTGCCATGAATTTTCCAGCAGGTATCCTTGGTGTGACCTGGTTTTTCCAATGATGCACTAGGGTCTTCCTCTCCTTTGACGGTTGTCATTGGATGGGAAAATTGCTCCCTTACAACAAGAGCAGATCCCTCAGTAATCTGTTGATTGTTTGAGTACCTAACATACACTTCTTTCGATTTCTTCTTGGAGGACCTCTGAAACTACCTCCCGGATGTTAGGTAGAGGTTGTTCCCAAAATTCTGCCTCGAACTTCATCAAGATTCTTATTTAGGCCTAATAAGAATTTGTATATTCGTTTCTTTCCACAATCTTTTGAATCTTGCTGCATCAGCACTACAGTTCCACTTGTGGGTCTATGTAAGTCAAGCGCTGCCAATAGCGATTGAGACGGCTGTAGTACTGAGTGATTGGTAAATCCCCTTGATGCAAATCATGAAGTATTTCTTCCATCTCAAGGATTCTGCAGTATCTTCTTTATCTGAGTATGTTTGCTTGGCTGCTTCCAGATTTCTTGAGCAGTTTCGTAGAGCAGGAAATCATCCCAATATCGGTATTCAGGAGTTGATCAGCCATGACATAACTGTGCTGTTTTCTGCCTTCCACCTTTTGATATCGGAGCATCTCAGCTGTGTATGAACTGTTGTTCCAGTAAGATAATCATCCTTTCGTCAGCCTCTTACAACATCATCAGTGAATTGATTATTGGATGTAGTTTTTCCATTCAGTTTGTGCCTTGTAATGGGAAAACCTGAGCCATCGGATCCACCCTGACTATGGACTCAGAAACTTCTGGTTGCGTGTTGAACTAGTAATTCTTTGACCAGTTGTGATTCAGAGATGTTCTCGCTAGTTGCTTCTTTATCAATTGCCGTTCGTATTTGTCATGGCAGATTGAAAGAATGGTAT